CTCAAAATGTCTGCACCTCTATATGAATTCTAGGGATCCTTGATTTAATTGGGCTTTAAGTCAGTTGCGTCGAAAACTACATGATATTTGAATAGATATAGCAACAGTGGTTTTCAATTTATGCTAAAATGCAAATACTTAAGCCAATAGTGTACATACACACATTGAATAAATTCTGTGGCGCAGAACTTCTTAATAATCAATAACTTTTTAATACTTCTAGCGATGATTTCTCAATAACTACTTGATCAAATTCAGTAAAATTTTTATTTTAATTCTACAAAGCTATTGAATTAAAATAAAAAAAAGTTTAATGAATTTGGTCAACTAGTTATTAAGAAATCATTACTAGAAGTTTTAAAAAACTCGAATTTATTAATAGGATCTGCGCCACAGGATCTGTGATGATATACAAATTTGTCCAATCAAAAATAGGGAGATCGCCGCCCAATTAGAGAGTGGGGGGTAAATTAGTAAAACCTTCCACCTGTTGGTGTTGGTGGTGACATTATGAAGGTTGTCATCTCAACAACCATCCATCCAAATTCAATGATTTTCTAAACTTGATCTGTAGAAACAAAATAAAAAAAATTCATAGATTTTAATTAGACGCGGCGAAATTTTATAAAACTTTAAGCAAAAATATATCAGCAACCACCTATTCAAATTCGTAGATTTTTGATTTTACAGAGCTGAAGAATCAAAATAAAAAACAATTATTGAATTTGGCTGGGCGGACATCGAGATATCTTTGCAAAAAGTTAAATTTAATGGATGTATGATGCATCAAGAACACCACTCAAATTTAGGGTAATTTGAGTGTATCAAAAAAATAATTGCATGAGTATCAAAATTGAAACTTTTGTAATCAAGAATTTTGCAAAGCGCAATTCTGGCGAGTTTTTTGAGAGATGTGTTTCTAGCAATGCTGACCTTAATGTCTTCGAGTTTTGATTCTAAATAAGGACAATGCTAACTCTAAATAGACCCAAACTTAACCGTTGTCGTTTAAAGCATGAACGATTAAGTTGTTTTCAAAATATAAACAAAGATGTCATATAATTTCACCTTGAAGACATTTCGAGTCCTAAAAATTTACAAGTCATCAAATTTGTAATACTAGAATTTCGTGTTCGTGTTTCACCATTTGTAATATATGCAGGTGATTTGTTGGGCACATTTCATTAAAAATTTTGATAAATCAATTTAAAATTTTATAAATGTTAATTTTTTGGATTAACATAAAGTAATATTTCATATCATACAAAATTTAGCGAAACTTGCCAATAATTAAATTGTGACTTATAATAATAATCATGATTTAATTAAAATAGATTATTTTCTAGGCGATTTCCTGTTAGTAATGTTTGCAAGATGATTCAAACTTCTAAACATTACTTGTGTGGATGAAGAAGGTAAATCATCCCTACCAGTTGACATTTTTATACAATTTTTTAACCATTTTGAAAGAGTTTTAAAACTTTCTAATTTAGCAGTGTCTACGTTATAATTTGGGACTGAACTTGTAGAAGGGTTCAAATAAGAATCTATGCTGACTCTATCGATAATGTTTTTTTGGAACCATCTTAAATTATCAAAATTATTTTGTTTCCAAGATATATAAGCGAATTCTTCTAATACATTGATGTCAAGAAGCGAAATGTCGATCGAATGATTTGTTAATTTATGATCAAGGGTAATTGGTAATGAGAGTGAATGAAAATTTAAAACTAAATGGTTTAGAATTTCTTTAAATAGTGCAAATTCCTTCTTATGAATTAAATATCTGAGATAAATGTAACCAACTTCAATATCTTTTACGCGATATGGAGGATGTGGTAGTTTTACAGTAATACTTTGTTCTGATAAAGATGACGCTTGTTTTAAGGAAGTGGGTGACGGGGAATGCCTGTTTGATGGTTTTGTAGTTGCTATGAAAATAGGTGAAGATACGGAAAATGCACGAGATAAGTTTTTATCAAACCCAAAATGTTCATTCCTCCAATCCACAAACATTTCCCAAGTTTGGTGAATGTTTAAATCATCCGACTTATTGATTAAAGATTTCTGTACTGAATGATTCAAAACCACCTTCCAAAATTCAAAATTGATTGATTTTTTCTTTGTCTCTAGAATTTGGCTCATCAAAATTTCGCCATCTTTATGTAATTCTGGTAGCCTGAAACATGTGCCTAGAATTAACATTTGTGATTTAAAATTTATATCCTCTTTATTAAGTCTTATATTTGCATCACTTCTAAGCATTCCAACATTATTTGCAATATTAATATCTGCCTTTTCATGCAACTTATTTCCCTCTTGAATAAATTGATTAATCTCGTTAATTAAGTACTTAATTGTCAATCCATCTTCACATTTTACACAACATTCCATTAATTCTTTCCAAATTCCGAATGTGGGCTTAACCTCTGGATTTTCTCTTTTCATCTGATGTCTAACAACATTTATAGCATATTCAGACTCAAATTTGTCTTTTGATGCCAATCTTAATATTGTTTCATACAATTCCTCGTTTCTTCGGTACCCCATTAACGAAAGTTTGGTCCATCGTTTCCACATGTTTTGGTAGTCACCTACCGAAGCCAATTGTTGAAATAATGTAATTGTAGAGGCTTGTGTATGTTTTACTTTGAAATTTTTCATTAATTGCTCTATTTCAAAGATCTTAGGTGTTAGAGAGCTACGAAGTAATGAAATATTTTCATTATATGATTCTTCCTTCTCTTGTTGTCCAGCTGAATTAGGTTTCTTATCAATATTTTCTCTATTATTTAACTGAGGCAAACAGGATTCTAGTAATGGTTGAAAAACTTTAATATTATCAACATCATATCCTGCAAGTTTAATCATATCAAAGATTTCCAAAGCTTTTTCGACTCTCAGACCAACAGACTTTTCATCAACAGCCTGAAATTCTGGTGATTTTGCATACCCTTCTAAAACGATACGATATGTTTCAAAAGTTGGTTCCATTCCTTCTCCTCTCATGTTTTTTAGCATTTCCAAACTTTTGTCTAGTGGAAACTCCTTAGGACTAATTTGATTCGCAAAAATATTAAATCTGATTATTAAATCGTAATGATCACGATGAAATTTTGGAAAGCTAGGGTCTAAAGTAGAGGATTGTTTAGAAAGACTGTTAACCAATTCCTTCCATGAAGAATAAAATGAACTATTTTTAAAATCATCACTTGAAAAAAAATCTATTTGTTCTATGGTCTTTTGTATTCTCGAATCCATTGCATCATCCAAAAGACTATCAGTTTGATCCTCTGACTTTTTTTTACTCAAAATATATTTGGAGAGTGCATGAACATAAGCTTGCATTAAGACTGTTGAAAAATCAAATTCCCATAAATCTCTTAAATTTTTTTGTGCTGCCATTTGTGATTGTGGATCTTTAATCCAAAGTGCATACCTATTTATTAAATTTGAAACAGTTTTAAATCTGCCTAAATCAGCATAGTAAGAAAGCATTGCGTAAAAAGATTCACGTGATGGTATGTGATTGAATCTTGAAACCAATCGATCTAAATATGTTTTTGCCAGTTGTATGTTTGATTTTCGCGATAAAGCCCATATAATCTCAGAATACAATGCCGGAGTCAATAATTGTTCATCTTGAAGCCTTTGCAACATTTTTTGAAATGTATCATTTTCTTTAGGATATGATCCTAAGGCCTAAATCCGAAAGGAATAAAAATTATATCATAATACAGAACAGCTATTTGATAAATAAAACTTACTCGTATGATCAATCTCCAAGTTTCTTCATCAAATGGACCTCTAAATGATTCAATGAATGTCTCACATAATTCTTTTACATCCTCAAAATAATCCATTTTTTGAGTTGTATAAATTTTATGTGGTACAGTCATAATTCTTAATATTAATTTCCATAATTCTAAATCTACTTCCACGTTAATTGGTCGTAAATCAGTTAAACTTGGAGTTTTAGAACCTAAATTAGCCAAAGGAACTTGGCCATTTGTAATTGACCTCAAAACGCTTATAGTTAATAAGTGATCTGAAGATGCTTCAACTACGTTCAAAAAATATTTATAGGTCTCTTTTGTTGGTATAGAAGACTGATGTGAATCGATATACATTTGGTTGATAATTTGGATGGCACTTTGTAAATCAGAGGTTTTTGCACATGATTTTAAAAGAATATGGTAGGTCTCTAAAGTTGGTACAATGTTTTGATTCTTTAAGTTTATAAACTCTCGTATAACTGATGAGAGATCATTTGACTCAAGATGACTTTGCATATAGTTGTTAGGCGAAACTGTTTTGTGCAAATGGCGAAAAGCGAAACCTAAACCCGGCGAAAGACAAAAGTGACGAAATTCTGGCGAAAGGCGAAACTCCTGGCGAAAGGCGAAACTCCTGGCGAAAGGCGAAACTCTTGGCGAAAGGCGAAAACCCTGGCGAAAGGCGTTACTTCTGGCGAAAAGCGAAATCCCTGGCAAAAGGTGAAACCTCTGGCGAAAGCCAGAACTTTCGGTGAAGATCAAATCCATTAAGACTTAGCCGTGTTGATGAATAAAAATATCTTGTATGTGGCTATTAAGCTCCAAGTCATATGAAGACACTCCATCTGATTGGCTAAGTTTTATGATTTACCCGTGATTTCCCGCCAATCAAATTACATAATTTAATAATAATAATACTGGCGAAACTTCTATACTATTTTTCATTAGTTGTCCTTTATTAATTTTATTTAATTACATAATTGAGTAGAACCCATATTTAAATTATTACTACCTTTGCTAGAGACGCTACTACCTTTAAAATACATTATCAAATAAAAGCAATATTTTGTTAAGAAAAATTTTTATGAAATTTCAACTATTAATATAAATTCTTAAATAATTACAGTTGTTGACTACCATCTTTGGTCTATATTATTAATTAAATTTTTTTAAATTTAGACAATTTTGCTATTTATCTTTATTAAAAAAATTTTTTTTATTAAATTAGTCTTTTTAAGGTTGGGGTTTTTTTATTTAATATTATTGAACATAGTAATTTACAGTTAAAGCCTTAATAGAATCACCTTTATATTAGAGAGTACAACTAACCATACGTACATTTTTGGTGTCTAATTTAAGTAATTCACTTATGATTTTATATTAGTTATTATATTTGCAATTCAATTACAAGTATTTTTTATTTAAACCTTTTGTATTGTTATTCTTACTGTATTACTAGAATATCTTTAATATTGGTCATTTCATTAAGCATGATACACCAACTTGATACATTTGAATTAAAATGTAATTACACAAAATTTTACATATTAACTTGCAA